TCCATCTGCCCCATTACTGTGTGTGGCCACATAGAGTGGATTCAGGATTCAGCACAGCAGATACAGGGTGGGAAGGTTTGTTGGAAGAGTGGAGTGCAAATATACCCCTCAAAATAGATGGGCCACTTGTATTAGAGGTTTCTATAGGATCAATAGGCACCGTACATGTGCAAGGGTTGCTCTGCACCAACTCCTCACCATCCCACCTACTTCTCCTTCATGTCTCTGAATGAAGAGCTGAACCTGCTATCCAGTTCTAAGTAAAAGGAGTAGAAACCATTATTGCAACAATTCTTGGCAAAACATTTAAGTTGGTTTTTTTTATTATTATTCTCTCATCAGGTTTGATACTACCATAGGACCACTGCAGTATGCTGACCAGTTTTTACAGCTATCGATCAAACTCCCCAGCAGCAACATCTATGGTGTGGGAGAGCACGTGCATAAGCAGTACCGGCACGATGTTAACTGGAAAACCTGGCCCCTCTTCAGCAGGGATATTGGCCCCTCTGGAGTAAGAACTGGGTTTATTATGCTACATTGTGGGGTTTCTAAAAGCAAATGGACATTGTGAAGTCGAACAAGGGTTTGTGGAGTTGAGTGATCTTAGTTATCCTTGAATGTTTTAAAAAAGGAGAAAGAAGTCTCTGGTACGGGATTGTCGAATCACTTTGCTTTGATCTTCTGACTTCTGGAATCCAAGCCTATTCTGCAGTAGACATATTAACAATATCCGTTGGGTTTTTCCCCAAAGAGTTGTCAGGCACTGCAGATTATTACGAAACACTAGATGGTACTGATGAAAGTTCCCGGAGGAATAGCTTTTTATAAATATTTTGATTTTTGTATCGACGTGAAGTTGAAAAGCAGTTGATAAACATTAATACATGAGAGTCTTCAGTTTCTATTGATAAAGGAAATAAATAACAATGTCCTAATGCATTGGTGTGTGCAGCATTCAGTACACATGACACATGCTGCTTCATTTAACATCCTTGTAGCTTGGCAAATGATGGAGAAGTTCTCTTCAACAGCTGTCTTTTTACTAGAGAAAATATGTCTGTTATCTTTTATTTGTTTCTCTAGTTTGTATGGCTGTCTCTTTCCAAAATTATTTCCAGGACACCCATTTTTTGATAATTATAAGAAGACTCTTACATCTGCACGGAGACTTCCTTAGACTTTGATCCAAGTTAGCCTTTATTTGTTTCTATAGTTTGAATGGCTGTTTATTTATCAAACAATTCCTAGGGCACCCATTTTTCAGTAATTGTATGATTATTTCTCGCTATTATCTCAGTTTCATAAAGCAACAATCCATTTGCTTTACTTTGAGAGAGCACTTTAGTGTTTCACTGAAATAGGAGTCATACTACCAGAAAACAGAGGGTGATACCACTATATGTAATTAATTAATAATTTGGTATTTGTACCCCTTACCTTGAGACACCTCTTCACTATCTTCTCTGGTTTGAAGATAGTTTTACCTGAGCGGGTCTATTGAGTGTAGACTCATTAAGTTAAACAAACAGTGAACAGAATCAAGTGAGGCTAATTTCAAATTACTCAAGTTCTGTTTCTTGTTATTTGTTCTGAGTTTTCATTTGCAGGGGAAGAAGCACAACTGTTAACAACGATTGTTAACATTTCTAAGGATTTAATTCCTACTGATAATGGGAAAAAAAAAACAAACCCAAACATGAGAAAGGAAATAAAACAGAAGCAAGGCGCTCTCTTATTTCCATAGATTAGACATAAAAATGATTACCTTGCGAGATTACTAGAAATATAGATTAGGTGTAAAATCTAATGTATGGTGAAAGCACCTTTCAAGTTCTATTGTTCGCTTGATGTGCGTATATATTACCCAGAAATAGTGCTGCAATATATGCAGACTTGCCTGAAGATCCATCATACCTGTTTGCTTATGTTATCTATGTATTTGGGGAAACTTTTGTTTTAATGGAAAATGTTCTCATAAAGGAGAAGAATGTCAGGAAAAAGAAAACAGACCTGTAGGGAAGTGCCAGGATTTTTTGTTCTTTTGTTTGTTTGCTATATTTTGAGAAGTTTCAAGTCCTACCTGTGATATACTTTGAAATATCCCAGAACAGATACTGTGATTAGATTTTAATCAGCTTACTTATTCTTTTTATCCTTTAAGGAAATGCATAACTTATATGGAGTTCAAACTTTCTTCCTGTGTTTAGAAGACAACACTGGAGCCTCCTTTGGTGTTTTCCTAATGAATAGCAATGCCATGGGTAAGGAAGCTTTCTCTGTAGCTCTGAGCACTGCAGTTAAATATCTTTTTTAAAATGATCTGTAGGACTGGGATCAAAACTGTAGTGTTTAGCATATGCAGTGTAAGCAGTATGTAGCACAGAGTTAACGTGACGATTGTGCTGGAAACCTGAGGGTCAGAATCCTTTCTGAAACCTGTGCAGATATATAGGACGCAGGAATCAGAGCCTACATTTCGAGTGAGCAATACTTGAAAGTGAATGCCCTTTAGTCTCTTTAGATAAACATGCATATATATATATATAGGCTTTACAGAGCTCTTCACGTCTCTTGAGGATGGAAAGTTGTACTAAAAATTTAAAGATAAAAGGTTGAGTCATTGGATTTCTTCTGATTCTCTTCTTTGTAGATGTAAAGAAATGGAAATATGAACATCTTAAGAGAGTCATCTGAATACATTCCCCTTGCATTGCAAGTTCAATTAATGGTTTTTTGTTCCTTAGGTATTATTGTTTTGTGGTTTGGTTTTGTTTTTTTTTTTTTTTTCTAAAGTAAATTTTCTCATCCTCAATTAGGAAAATTACAAAGTTAATTTAGAATTAGCTGGTATTAAGAACTGGTTTTGTGTGCTTTGGTCTGGCAGAGTTTGCAGTGCAGCCTGCTCCAGCAGTGACCTACAGAACCATTGGTGGAATACTTGATTTCTACATCTTCTTGGGGAACACTCCAGAGCAAGTAGTCCAGGAGTACCTGAAGGTACCTTTAGCTAGAATGACTATGCATTGAACAGATATTAAAAAGCACTTGGGACTTTTTGGTGTGGGGTTTTGTTTTGGGTTTTTTTCACCTCTTTATGTGACAATGTGTCTTCACTATGTTATCTATTAACTGAAAATATGACTATATATATTTATATATTTAACTAAGAATAACTGTATAACTGACTTTATATATTTTTATATATTTAACTAAGAATAACTGTTAGTATTCCCCTAATGTGACTGCTGCCATCAGTAATAGCCAGCTGGAGTTAAACTGGGGTGTAGATGCTTTTAGCTGACCTATTATGAGCAGTTGAAACTTAAGCACTACTTTTGCTTAAGATGCTGGAGCAGAGACCACGGAACAGCTCAAGGCCCAAGAAGTCTGTAGCTGCTAAATATACAGTGGCTATTGGAGCTAGAGACGGTCTACATCTACATGGTCTACTTTTGGGGAAGGACTTTTTATAAGGGCAGTTAGTGATAGAACAAGGGGAAATGGCTTTAAACTGGAAGAGGGGAGGTTTAGATGAGATATTAGGAAGAAATTATTTACTGTGAGGGTGGTGAGACACTGGCCCAGGTTGCCCAAAGAAGCTGTGGCTGCTCCTCCCTGGAAGTGTTGAAGGCCAGTTTGGAGGAGACTTTGAGCAACCTGATCTAGTGGAAGGTGTCCCTGCTGATGGCAGGGGGGTTGGAACTGGATGATCTTTAAGGTCCCTTCCAACCCAAACCAGTCTGTGATTCTGTGATACGTGGAATAACGTGTGCTTCCTTGCTGGGGTTCACTCTTGTTATAAGGACAAACTCCTGTTTATATGGCAATATTACAGCATAGATCATGTGCTTACAGGTGTGGCATGATTTTATGGTCATAATATGTCACTGAAATCTTTTGTACTTCTTGAGATCCACTTAGGTTTCAGTGACACCTTAGAGAATGGGCATTGTTCCAGCGTGTTTGTATTTCTCAAAATAAATAAATAAATAAAATTGTGCATTTGGGAGTGGGTTGCTCATTTCACACACTCAAGCTTAATGTATATTATTCAAATAGATTTGAGGAGTATGGGTCTAAGGAAATGGGCACTGAGATAACACACGCAGTGTCCACTGACTGTGCATGGGATTTTTGCTCTCAACTTGCAGCTCGTGGGTCTGCCAATGTTGCCATCCTACTGGAGCCTGGGCTTCCAGCTCAGCCGTTGGAATTACGGATCTCTGGATGAAGTGAAGAGAGTTGTGGAGAGGAACAGGGCGATTGGACTCCCTTTTGTAAGTATGGGAGGGGACAAGGACAACAACCCTGGGAAGGCAGAGTTCTGCAGGAAAAATGACGCAGAGGTCCTGGCCATGGTGTTCTGCAACTGGTTCATGTCACATCAGTTTAAATTAGTAAATTACTAATATATAGGTGTCAAAGGGTTTTGTGCATTTTAATGATAGAACCATTATCAAATTATTATCATGGTGAGGCTTAATTACAGTAAGTTTTATTTGAGCAGTTTATTGTAATACTTTTCCAGTTATACTTTCCAATTATATCCACTTATCTTTTCATGTTACCTAATCCACAAATTATTTTTGTTTTAATTGTCCTGTGGACAATTATGGAACCATATATTATTCTTAATTGACAGCCAAAGGTAAAGTACAATTAACTTTTAAAATTAGATTTTAGATTACATTAGCCTGATGGCTTAAAGAGAATAAAAATACCTTAAAGTTAAGCTAAGAGCTGAGGAAGAAATGTTTGGATTTAAGGACATAGCTCTTGAAGTCAGGCAACTGCAATGAAATAGCTACGTGTCCAGGGGCTATTTGAAAAGATACCAAGACTCATTCCTTTCATTTCTGTTAATGTTAAATGCAGCTCTTTTTAGATACAAAAGATGTGTCAGTGCCATTAATTAGGGCTGTAAGTATTAGATGAGATGCACATTGTTTACGAGTGCTCCGGGCCGCATAATTTCTGCCAGGCTGCAGCAAAGTCCCAACAGTAAACTCACTATAGGACAAATGGAAATTGTCAGAAGAAATAGTGTTGGACTAATATACAAAATCTTTACATATCACTTCTCATGTTAAATCTGAACTCCCTTCTCTTTCAGGATGCTCAGATCACTGATATTGACTATATGGAGGAAAAAAAAGATTTTACTTATGACAAAGTGAAGTTTCAAGATCTCCCTAATTTTGCAGCTTTTATGCATGACTATGGACAAAAATATATTATCATATTGGTAACCATTTAACTATTTCTTTTTCCCTTGTAAATACTATAATTATAGCTGATTATTATTATAATTTGCTTTTTCTATGTAGTTATTACATTTATTGCCTAACATTCTAGTAGTCTGTAATAACTGATGGAGTGCATACTGGTTTCTTCTTATATTTTGTTTTATATTTTTTTTTAGGATCCTGCTATTAGCACAAAAAATCTAGTTGACGGTAGTCCATATGGAAGCTTCGTCAGAGGAGAGAGCAAAAAAGTCTGGGTTAATGAATCAGATGGAGTAACAGCTTTAGTTGGGGAGGTAATCACGTTTTTCTGAATTTGAATTTGGTCTGTTGTCACAATTATGTTTTAATTTAGGTCAGGGGCTCCTTTTAAACTCTCATTTTTGTTGCTTCTTTCAGTAAAATTACCTACCAGTCAGAGCTAAATTTATATGATCTCACTTAGGATATGATACTTCACAACCTTTCTTGGGTTTTTTTGCAATGTTTTACATTAAACAAAAACTAATGTAGTTTGAAGGCTTAAGGGAGAATTCACCAGCCAGCTCCTATTTATTTTCAGTAGTGTCTGAAAAGCCAGCTCCCACATTATCCTTTTAATTTATATTTGAACTTCTATTAAGAGAAATTTTTCTGTTGTGCATTGTTCCTTGTATGACGTAAAAGAAAAGCAATTGAAAACTCCAAAGGAACTCATAATCTTTCTGCCTTCTTTCTGTGTGCAAGCTATTGTCACTCTAGAAGTTTGTCATTCAAAAATCTCTATCAGAGCAGTATATGAGCACTGTCCTCAATGACTGACTAGGAGAGTCCTGGTGGACAACAGCATGAACATGAGTCAACAGTTTGCCACTGCAGCAATGAAGGCAAATCAGATCCAGGGCTTCATCCACAGGGGCATTACTAACAGAAACAGAGATGTAACCATCCCACTCAACGCTTGTCAGGCTGCCCCTGGAGTACTGTGTCCAGTTCTGGTCCCCACAATTCAAAAAAGATGGAGACAGACTGGAGAGGGGTCCAAAGGAGGGCCAGGAAGATCATCAAAGGGAAAAGAGTTAGGTCTTTTGTCCCTAGAGAAGAGAAGGCTCAAGGGAGGCTTCATCACAGTATTCCAGTACTTAAAGGGCAGCTACAAAGAGGACGGAAACTCTCTCTTCACAAAAAGCCACATGGAGAATAACAAGGGACAACGGGTGCAAGTTGCACTGGAAATTTTTTACAGTGAGAACAATCAGTCACTGGAACAACCTCCCTAGGGATATGGTATAGTTCCCATCACTGGAGGTTCTCAAGACAGGATTGGACAGGGTCCAGAATGATCTCATCTGAGTTCCTTTTCCCATGAAAAATGGGACTGGATGATCTTTCAAGGTCTCTTCCAACCTGCGCTGTTCTATGATTCTATGAAGTCTTTTTAATATCGTTAAAAGTTTAATTAATTCTTTCCCTTTTATGATTGCAGGTGTGGCCAGGAGAAACTGTGTTCCCAGACTTCACCAACCCAGACTGCACTAGCTGGTGGGTGGAAGAATGCAAACTGTTTTACAACATAGTGCCGTATGATGGCATCTGGATTGTAAGTAATTCAGAACTTTCTTTTTTATTTTTATTTTTAAAAATAGGCAAGGATAAATGTTTATCAAATTCAATTTGCATTGCATTTGAAAGGGATGTTTACTATTACTAACGTGAAATCAGTGCAGGATGTGTATTCCTCCTAGTGTTGAATTTGCAATTTAAATTTTAAATTTTAATTTGAAGCATTAATCATGGCATTTAAATTATCAGTGTGCTGTTTTGTGAATGTTCGGTGACACTTTAAAATGCTTCAATTGATGAATTATTGCTAAAGACAAATAGTAGCACATTCCTGTACTCAAAATGGCAATATTTGGAGACCTGCATACCTGCTCAGTGATCGTGTGCTAAACAGATCCTGACTACAAGGATACTACACGTCATCTATGTATCTACTCTCTAAATATCTCATGGAATTTCCAGTTAGTGAATCTGCAACTGCTATTTCAGATAAGGATTGGGAAAAATCAGGCTGCCTAAACAACTTCTCCCAAAAAAGGACTAAAATAGTCTGGCACAGTGGATTTTAGGTACAGTTCATGGAAATCAGATGAGATTAAGAACTATCTTTACTGACCAGATTAGGTTTTTAAAGGAATATCCTGTAACAAAGCTTCTAAAAGTGGGTGCCTGAAGGAAATCTGTACTTAAACTTCTCAATCTCTGTCTCAGTGCCTTCTTTTCTTTATTTTTTTTGTGTTTTTCCTACTTCCTTTTCTTAAAAATAAATAAATGTTTCTAAAGAAAATAAGAACCTACTTAATAGTTTTGCCATGCTTTTTAAAAAGCTGTAGCAATTTAAAATTAATCAGTATGGCAAAATACAGCCCTTCAGCTGCTATGTGATAGAATCTGTTCTTCTTATTTTTGATGACTCTGTGGTTCCATCAAGTCAAGCTATGAAGTCTACGACTGCACAGAACCAAATTGGTCACTAGACTACCGTGTCTCCATGAAAGCTTTGTTCTTTTCTTTTGGATATGTTTTTCCTTCAGCACATTCAGGGATGCAGATAGAAATGCACTTACAGCACTGCCAAATAAAATATACATGGAAGGAGACAGTTTGAAAGAGTTATATCACACTTGCCTAATAGTCTAGTACTAGTTCTAAGTAATTATTCCTTAAAGGGTAAGAGAATAGAACATAAGATTTCATTAGGAAAACATACTTGAAGGAAACTTTATTGATGTTCTGCATCTTATCTTTTCAGGATATGAATGAAGTATCCAACTTCATTAAAGGTTCAATAAAAGGTTGTGCGCAGAATGACTTAAACTATCCTCCTTTCACTCCCAGTAAGTCCATCTACTTTAACCAGAAAGCAAAATATCAAAAGGTTTATAAATTACTGTGCAATTTGCTACAAGGATGCAAACTGATTGTAGTGTAGTTTTTTATGGGTGAGGTTTGAACATTACTGTTGACAGAAAATATCGATATACTTTGGCCCTTGTCTCAGGTGTGGTTTATTTAACTGGCTCTTTTCCCTTTTCAAATTATTACTGAATAATGTTATTGCCTTAGTTATGTCGGATAATACAATCATCTTCTTTCGTTATCAGTAGTTTTTGAGATGAATGCAGAACTAACATAGAATTCAGAGTTTGTATTAAGTTGTAGGTTTAAGTAACCATTGCCTACGTGTTGGCAGATAATGATTCAGAAGTTTAGGGCATAGTTCTGTTTATTCCTTGCATAGGTGCAAAGCTCAAGAGTTGAAAATGTCACAGAGCAAAGATGAATCAAAGCAGCAGCCAGGAGTAGCATTTTGGTTTTGTAGTAGTAATACTGGCCTCAGTGAAAACAGTAAATAGAAAAAATGTCATGAATGTGCATTAAAGATTGAAAATATTAATAATAAAAATGTACTTTAAAAGTGATATTTGTATTTCTTTATTGAAGATATTCTTGAAAACCTCATGTTTTCCAAGACGCTTTGTATGGATGCAGTGCAGAAGTGGGGGAAACATTATGATGTCCACAGTCTTTATGGATATTCCATGGCCATATCAACACAGAAGTAAGGAATGCATCCTAAAATCTTTACAAAAAGGTTTCAGAACAGTACCTGACCTGCATTTTCCCAAACAGCAAGAACTTACACTTCTAAAGGAACCCAATTCCTGGAAAATACTGTATTAAATTTAAGCCAATGCAGCTAAGGCAAAATCTACTAACTGAAATTGGTAGTAAAAGCCACACAATGGTTATCAAAACTGTATAGAAAGGTTATTTAAAATGAATGTCTTGAACTTTCCTAAAAGACACCTGGCTAACTGTAAAGGAGTCCACATCCCTGGGATAAGCAATTATTGTAAATCAGTCAGTGTAAATCTGCCTTATATAAAACTACTGATGTTGGAGTAATCTTTTTTCTTTTGCATAATCCCAGTCTCATTTCCTTTTAAGAGCCATCGAAGCACTGTTTCCTGGAAAACGAAGCTTCCTTATTTCAAGATCTACTTTTGTTGGATCAGGAAAATACACAGGACACTGGCTGGGAGATAATGCGGCAATATGGGATCACTTAAGATGGTCAATACCTGGAATGCTGGACTTCAACCTCTTCGGAATTCCTTATGTATGACATTAGTTTGTGACATCCTTTCATGGATAAAAAGTAACTCTACCTCTGTGATAACAGATTATCTAACCAAACGCTTGCTAGATAACTGTCTATCTTACATTTTCAGTTCCAAATTAATCCCCTTTACGAATCTGGTTTCAATTTTTTTTTCCAGTTATTGATTTTTATTTAGGCCACTTATTTTGATTACTGTGGTTGTGTGTTCATGGTGAGATAAAGGTGGGTAACCAACATATTATCTTCTATATCCTAAGCTACCTGTTACTTCTAGTAATTTTTAAACATCAGTGATCAATGTGAAACACTTTGTTTTCCTTATAATTTCAAATTAAATTAAAACATGCATTTATAAGAAAAATAGCCAAATTCCTTTCCATGATTTAAATTTGTATGACTTTTGAGCTTTTTTCCTACTGTATACATATTAGCATAGAACAGGTTTGGAAGAAATAGAATGATAGACAGTGTTAGT